CAGGACAAGTGTAACTCAGATATTCCAGTTCCTGGCAAACTTTGGTGCTTAACAAATAAACTTGCTGGATTTATGATCTCAGTGTTCTTGTGGTTTCTGTGAAAAAAGTTTCAGGCTACTGAGAGGACTGGAATTCCATTCAATGATTGCCTAAGGTGGTTGTGCAACATTTAGTTACTACAGCAATGCTGTCAGATCTCTCTCTCTCTCTCTCTCTCTCTCTCTCTCTCGCTCTCGCGCGCGCGCGTATGTGTGATCTTCACTTCTGCTCTTTCTAAAACAAACTTTTATAAAAATAATTAGAAATTACATATGAGGAGTGTTGTGAGCCAAGGAGAAGACTGGAATAGTGACTCATGCCAGTTTTGGTTCTTTACCCTGGTCTGTTCTCTCTCTAAGATCCTTTTGTGGACTAAGCTCAAGGAGTGCCTTATGACACCAGAATGATTAGCATAGAGACAGCACTGTTCTCCTAGAGCAACACATAATCCTCCCCGTTGAAGGAGCAAGAGGTCCAGGCCCCTCCTATTTTGTAAGGTGACCTCGGCAAGGGAGGACAGGGAACTCTCAAGATGTTCTATAGCAGTTTGTAATGCTTTTAAGTCCGAATCAATAGCCATACTAAGGGCACTATAATTTTTGTCCTGTAGGATCAGTGCTGATGTTCCTAGCCCTAGGGCGCCGGCACACTGATCCCCAAAAGAGTGGTGCCAGCAATCACCAGGGCAGCTGCCCTCTTATGGCATGAATGTTCCAATGGGGAAAGCTTAAGGCCCATCTCCCCCCAGGTCACTGGACGGACCTGGTGTTGGGGTCGTCGTTGCCTGGAACATTCTGGCCCTCCTCCGTTTGGATGGTTATCGATGGTCAGGTCTCTCATCTGTTGTGTGTTGGCTTATTGGTTTTGTCACCAACTCTGAGGCCAATACCTCTGGAGTCAGATGCATCACAGGCAACTCTGATGTTTTGGGCTGGGATCCAGATGGGGTTTGGTACATTACCTGGAAAGACACAAGCATAGCCTCATCCTTGTGTTAGTAATAGGTATGGGCCCTTCCACTCTCCTGTGAGGTGGTCCTACCATCTCACCATGGGGGTGGGAGTGGGGTGAACGAATGCCCCCTAATGCTTTGTTGCTGGTGGGAGGCCATTGAAGTCAAATTTTAGAAAATTTAGGGTGAATAAAGCTTGTTGTATAACAAGATTGGAATCCTTATAGCAGGGGCATTTGTCACTGTCTCCCCCTATTTTTTGTATTTGTTTAATGAGCATTTGATGTTTTCAATTGCCAGGGAACTCCTAAAAGGACCATGGCCTATTTAATGGTTTTATGGCATGGGAGGCAGGCTTGCCAGAGCAGGCCAAAGCAAAGTGGGCAGAAGAGTAAGTATCAATAATATAATCAATATATTTTAGTTTACTGAAGGGGGAAAAATGAGTTACGTCCATTTGCCAAATCTTATTAGGACCGAGGCCTCTGGGGAGAGTTCCAGCAGGTTGTAATGGCCTCAGGGTCATAAGGGGGGTGCACGAGGAGCACACATGGACCAGACGTTTGCACCTCTGGATCGGCAAAGTAGGTATGAGCCTGTGTATAGCTTGGGGAGAAAGATCGAAGTGGGTGTGTAAGTCCTTGGCTTGTTGTAAGAGAGCAGGATCCAGGATAGCAGCCATCACTAGTCTGTCAGTGATAGCACTGCCTTCTGCCAGAAGCCCTAGAAGATTGGTATGAGAGCGCAGGTGTTGAACATACCAAGGGGTGGAACACTGCTCAAGCAGCAATTGCAAAGAGGAGAGCAATAGATCAAGGGGGCTATGGCAAGGTCGGAAGGCTACAAATGCCAGATTTTGTATAGTTTGGATCACATAGGCACTGTCAGAAAATATATTGCATGAGGTTGTAGGGGAAGTCTTGAAAGACTTGTAACATAGCAGACAACTCTCCAAATTTTACCAATCCTTGAAAGGAAAGGACTTTTTGTGATGAAAGCTGTCCCTCATGGAAGACCATGTAACCAAATTAATGTTTGCTAGAATCTGTGAAAATTAAAGGAGCTTCAGGAAGAGGATTGCATTTTGGAAATGCCTGGGGAAATAAAGACAAGGAAAGATGTTTAATTCCTTGGAGGAGTTTATTCTGGAGGTAATGATTATTATATTTTCCCTAATAAGTTAGTAGGGGAATCTGAAAGCTAAGGTTGTCAAAAAACAGTCCTTGGAGCATGGGGAGTGGAAGAGGGAGGACCAGTGACTCTGGGTCGTGTCCATACAGAAGGCAGGAGGTTTGAACAAGCTTTAGGGCTATTATTGCCCACACCTCAATTACAGGAGTAATTTTATGTAATTGACTCCAAGAAGAGTGGACCCACATCAATGGTCCCTGGACTTGCCAAAATGCTCCCATAGAGGTGTTTTTGTTGGAATGACTAAGGCCTGGATAGGCTGTCCAGGTTGTACCCTATTAACGGATGCTTGGGACAAGTGTGTATTTATTATTGTTATAGCACATCGAGCCTCAGGGTGAGAATTTGCAGGGAGGTGGAGGCTGTATCAGCGCCCTGCAAGAGGTCAAAGAGCAGTGTAAGCTCTTCTGTGGACATGGGTAGAAAGCCCCGTATCCAATTTATGTTGCCACAGAGGGTCTGTGCCTCAGAGAGGGTGATCTTATTGGGTAAGGTAAGAGTAGGGGCTATAGGACGGATGACATCTTGGGTAGAATGGCCCAGAAAGGTATATGGAGCATGTAACTGAATTTTATCTGCAACAATAGTGAGGCCCAGCGCTCAGAGATTTGTTTTAAGTTTTTGAAAAGCTCATTGCAGGATCTTGGGGTCCTTATGGGCAATAAGAATGTCATCCACATAATGTAAGATATACAACTCAGTCAGCAAAGGTCTGCATGCATGGGCCACATAATATTGGCAAATGGTAGGGCTGTTTTTCATGCCTTGTGGAAGGACCTTCCATTGATAACGTTGGACTGGGAGATTATGGTTGGTGGTGGGCACAGAAAAGGCAAAATAGGGCTTATCGTCATCATGGAGAGGAATAGAGAAGAAACAATCCTTAATATCTATTATAATAATTGCACATTCTTTAGGAGTGGCAGTTGGGTGATGCAATCCCAGTTGTAGGGTTCCCAAGGGCTCCATGTGATCATTAATAGCCCTTAAGTCACCTTTTTTAAATAACAAAAATAGGAGAATTATGGGGGTGAAGAGAGGGCTCAATATGACCCAAGGAAAATTGTTCTTGGACCAAAGCAATCAAGTGAGTTAGCTTATGTGAAGGGAGAGGCCACTGCTCCACCCATATTGGAGTTTTTGTATATCAGGTCAATTTAATGGCGGGGGGGTTGGCCAATGGAGCAGTGGCCATTAGAATTGGGGGTGAGGATGGGGTGCATTTCCTGTGTGCTGGTTAACAATGCAATCATCATAAAAGGCTTTGTCATCAGTGGTCAGAACAACATCCATGGTAGTAAGAATATCCCTCCCCCACAGATTATGAGGAAGTCCTGCGGCTTTTTACCAAGAGAGCCCTCAGACCCTAGTCTCTCGTTTTCTGAATCCTCAGCAGTAGACATTTCCTTTTTGTCAGAGCAAGGCTCTGCTAGTTTTACTTCGACCGGGAGCACTTGGGGAGAGCCGTCCACAGCGTCCTGCTGTTGAATTTGTTTATCTATCTCCTTTAAAATAAGATCATCTTGTTCAGGGACATCAGGGGGAACTCCCTGCAGAGGGGCCAGAATGGCAGTTACAATGGGGTAGAATGGCCCAGATTGTGGGCGTCCCTCCTTGACCTCTTTCTTTCTAGCTGAGAATAACACACGTGCCCATTGTCCAGGATCCCAGCAGCAGGATTCTGCAAACCAAGGGGCAAGACCCAAAACTTCACCTGGCACTTTGGCTACATCCTTTTCTGTTACCTTAATTTGCCTGCTCCTGGGGAGAGAAACCAACGCTGTGGTGTGGGGGCCAGTGGCAGCTGGATGACTATTCCCCATACTGGAAGTCACTAACCCTGCAAGACGTACCCAGAGGTACTCAGGAGCCATTTAAGGAGACGATTGGCGGGGACAGGAGTGACACACCAAACCGAAGACCAAGTCCGGAGGGCCCCACATTTGGGCGCCAGTTGCTGCTGTCCATTCAGGCTGCTTTCACGGTCACCACCACCACCCAATCTGGACCCCAGGGCTGGCGAGGAGGCTGTGTCAGCAGTGCCACATTCAGACACAGGAGAACAGGTTCAGAGACACAGATCTACTTTATTGAGGAAACAGCAAGCTTAAATAGGGTTCTTAAGTCATTCAGGAGCAAGTACAAAGATCATTCAGGAGAGCGTGCAATGATCAGGTGATACATGAATAGACACCTTAGGCTTCCATATACAGTTTCGTTTTACTGATCGGGACTAGAATTCCTGTAAATCATGTGATCAACCCTGAGCGGGAGGGGTAGTTGGTTCCCTGGGGTCAGGGGGCCATCTTGTGACCTAATAAGGAAATTAACATACTCCAACATCGATGCATCTAGGCAGATGAAATATAAAGAAACGAAGCAACTATTTTAAAAAATCGAGAAAGCATTGAACTGGGGTCTCAGCTAGTTGGTAAAGTGCTCATTTAGTATGTATGAAAGCCTTGGGTTTTATCCCCAGAACCGCATAAACTTTGTGTGGTAGTACAGGCCCATAATCCCGGCACTGGCTACTTAATGAATTTGAGGACACCTTGGAATACATGACCACATATCAAAAAAAGTAAAAGATGGGGCTGGAGAGATAGTGCAGCAGTTAAGAGCACTTGCAGAGGACCTGGGTTCAGTTCTCAGCATCTACAAATGGCTAACAGCTGTCTAACTCTAGTTCCAGGGGAGCACATACCCTCTTTTAGTCTCCATGGGCACTGCATGCATGTGGTATACACACAGACAAAACACTCATTCACATAAAATCAATAAAAAATTTTAAAGTAAAAGAAAACATGGCAAAGTAGATTCAGAGGTTTAAAGATAGTTATTTATAGATTATTAGCAATCAACAGCACTTTCCTCTCCCCATTTTGGTCAAGGTATGCAATTTAAGTTATCTATGCATCTGATGATCTCTGTAAGTACAGCACCTCCCTCCCTACAAGCCCCCATCCCTGGCAGTTTCATGACAGATGCTTGGCTTCTCACACTCTGTATATTTTATCAGGCTCAACAAACTGGGTCACTTCATCTAAATAAGGCCACCAGGAGTACAGGAACCTCTCTGCAATGATTCTCAGCCAGGGAGTGACCCTCACTTCCCCTCTGGCTCCTCTGTCCAGAAGTTCTTTGAGCTCCTCCTGGGTCAGGTAGCTGAAGCCACTAACTTCACTGTGATCTGCATTGATAGTAACATCCCTCTTCACAAGCAGAAGGTAACAAACTTCGTGTTCTCCCCAAGTTGGATCTGATTTTGCCTGGTAATGATATTTTGTCATGAAGATGATGTCCTTTAGAGAAATCTGCAGCAGAAATTGATGCAGCGTTAACAAGATGACTGCAAAATGAATAGGTAGAAAATAAAGCAAATGTAGATGTTTGTTTTCCTCAAAGGAGATTAACAATTTTCTTTGGTAATTAGTAATTACCCAAACCTCAGTTTTCTTTATTGCTTACTTATCTGTTTGTTTTTATTGTTAGTATAGATTCATTGTACAAAATGGTGGATTTTATTATGATATTTTCACGTGTCTATATACTCCGCTTACACTAACACATCTTTAATCTCTCTTGTCTCCCCTTCCCTCCCAGTTGACACACTTCCTCCTCCCTAACCCTTCCCACTTTTATCACACAGAGGTGCACACACATACACTCTTAAATCTAGATTCGACATATGAGAGAAAATGTGATAATTGTCTTTTGGAGTCTTATTTTGCTTACTATGATGATCTCCATTTCCATCCATCCTCTTTCAAATAACACAATATCATTTTTCTTTATGGCTGAATAAAACCAGTATGGGAGCTAGAGAGATGCTTCAGTGATTAAGAGAGCTTGCTGCTCCTCTTTTGGAAGAGAGTTCATTTCCCAGCAGTCTTCTCAGACAGCTCACAATCTAACATATCTCGGGAATCCGACAGCCCCTCTTCTGGTCACTTCAGGAACCTGCATACATGTGCACATATACACACTGGCACACACATATACACATAAATACCTAGTAAATATTTTTATAAGATTCCATTTTAGGGAGAAACGGCTCAATGGTTAAGAGCACTGGTTGCTTTTGCAGAGGACCTGGGTTTGGTTCCCATCACCCACATGACAGCTAACAACTGTCTGTAACTCTAGTTCAAGGGATAAACACCCTCTTCTGGTCTCTGAAGGTACTGTGCACATGCGGTGCACTTACATACATGCAGGCAAAACACTCATACACATAAAATAAAAATAGAAAATTTAAAAAATTGAGACATATATATATATATCACAAATTTTTAATCCGTTCAACTTGATGGGAACCTAGACTATTTCTATGATGTAGCTCTTGTGAATACCGCACAGCAAGTGAGGATATACAGGTTCTGTGCTTATTAAGATTTGAACATGCCCAGGAGCTGCAGAGCTCAATCATATGGAAGTCTTACTTTAACTTACTGAGGAACCTCCTCACTGATTTCCATAGTGGCTGTTCTAGTTTACACTCTCACCAGTAGTGAATAAAGCTCTTTTTTTCACCACATCTTTGCTAGTATTTGTAGTTCTTCATTTCTTCCTGATGGCCATTTTGACTCAGATAAGATGGAATTTCAATATAATCATGGTTTTCATTTTCTTGGTGTTGGATGCTGGATACTTTGTACATTTATTGGTCATTTGTACTTGTCTTTTGAGAAGTTCATTCAATTCATCTGTTCACTTGTTGATTGGACTGTGTGGTTATTTTTGCCAAACCTTAATTTCTGTAACTAAATTTTGTGGGCTCAAATCTGAATGATAATCTGACTTTGGCTTTTTCAATCCAATAAAATTACCTGTGTTGTAGGTTTTTCTCTCTTTCTTTTTTGTTTTTGTTTGTTTGTTTGTTTTTGGTCTGTGTTCTATTTTAAAAAACTGACTCTGGAGTAGGGAGATGGCTCAGTGGTTAAGAGCTCTGGCTGCTCTTGCAGAGGACCCAGGTTCAATTCCAAGCACCCACATGGCAGCTAACAACCATCTGTGACTCCAGTTCCAGGGGATCCAATACCTTCCTCTGACCTCCATGGGCATTGCACAACATGGGTGCCCTTACACACATGCAGGCAATACATTCATACACATAAAAAATAAAAATAAAATATTTTTAAAAAGAACTGACTCCTTCACCCTTAGCCATGGAGAGTCCTCACAGAAACTCAGCAGATTTCCAAGAAAAATGCTCTTTGCCTCTCAGTACCTGCTCTAATGGATAAAGGTAACGAATGAATGTCTTATGTGCACAGCTGATCTTAGATGTTCTTTTCAGTCCATGTTTGCAATTTCCTCCTCAGAGGTTTCCAGAAAATCAGATTGGTAAGTAGACTTGACCTTGTCCTAAAAGTAGACTTGACCTTGCCTAGGACAACTGACTGCACTGAAGCCCCATCTCCTTAGTTAAGGCCCTCCAGTGACAGGGGGAGGGGGGGCACAGATCCAACATCCCTCCTCTGGCCAGTGTCCAGTTTCTGCCCCTCGCTCCCTTGGAGTCATGCTGATACAGCTGTTACTGGGCAGATATGTGTACCTGGTCCTGGGAGATGCCCAACTCAGCCTGCAGGCGTCTCAATGCCGCCCTCTTTACTCCCAAAGCGTCCTTTTCTTCTAGTTCCTCTGGGTTACTTAGTGGGTGACTAGAACAGGAGTCCGTAAAGTGCCCTGGAGAGAATACAGATGAGAAACAGTCCTCTTATTCCTGGAGACAGAGCAAATGAAACACACTTGCAGCCCTTGCAGGGAAGATCATCAGGATCTGTCATTAAGGTGAGGCACCTCACACAGATGGGAAAGTGGGCAGAGCCAGAGTCCCTGCTCCCAGGGCTGAGAGGGTTTGGGTGAGGTGCCTAGAGCAAGCCATTCACAGTGGTGCTCATAAGAAGCAGCAGCTCAGGCTACCCTCAGGCCCTCCCCCACAGCCTTTGTTGCACCATCCAAGTGAGACCCAGGTTAGGCACCAGTTCTCAGGCAGATTTGTGCAAACAAAAGACCAGAAATGCTATCTGGTAACAGGAAGAGCTCAGTGCTATGTGAGGTGTGGGTGGGCTTAGAGGTACAGTTGAGGAAGTGGGGCTCACTTGAGAGTGTTGAGCTTAAGACAAACCACCCCAGAATAGTACAGTAGGAAATCCTACCCACAAGACACTGCTAAATATATACTTCAAACTGAGATCTGAGGAACAAGTATGCAGAGGGGCCCCTCAGAACTTCCCTTATCTGACTACTGACTGGTCTTCCAATAGAAAAGCAATAACCTGGAAATCAGTAACCGCCCTGGAAAAATCCACCATGGATGATCACATAGCCTCAACAGAGCTTGGAGATATTTCTGTACGGGAGAAGCTTTACCACCTGTAGAGCGAGGGACCTTCCTTTATTCATCACACAGTGAAAGCTTCTCCATGCTCCTACAGCCCCCCCACCACCAGCGCCCTAGGCACTATTCCTTTCTGTAGCACAAGATGCCACGTAAACGTCAATCACTGGGTCTTCGTCCAGTCTGATGTTTTGTGGGACTACCACATGCATGCATGCAACTAAAATGCTTTTCCCTGTTATTTTCCACTGCTGGCTTATTTCGTAGACTCATTGATCAAACCTTCAGGTGACAGGGAGAAAGTCTTTTAGTATTTGTTTCGTTTTTGTTTTTGGCTTTTTGAGACAGGGTCTTCTTGTAGCTCCAGAGCTATGTAGACCAGGTTGACCTCAGTCTCACAGAGCTCTGCCCACCTCTGCATCCTGAGTGCTGGGATTAAAGGCCTGTGCCACCATGCCTGGCCCTTTTTGGTGTTTCTGAGTCAGATTTCATGTATACCAGCCTGGTCTTGAACTTGCTATTTAACTGAGGATGACCTTGATTTCTGCATCTTCTGGCCTCTGCTCCCAATTATTGGGGATATGGGTACATCACCATACTTGGCTTTGATCAAGTTTTCTTTTTAGATGTATGGCCATGCATATGCATGCATGTTCATGGGTATGAGGAGACATGTATGTGTGGGGGACAGCCTCAGGTGTCAGCCCTAAGAATGCCATCCACCTTCTTGAAACTGGGTCTTTCATTGATCTGGAGCTCACCAACTAAGCTAGACTGGCTGGCTAGTAAACCCCAGAGATCCTCCTGTTTCTGCCTCCCCGGTGCTGACATTGTAAGCACATGCCGCACTGCTTAGCATTTTTATGTGGGTTCTGGAGATCAAACTCAGGTATTCATGCTTGTGAGACAAGTGTTTTACTGACTGAGCCTTCCCTCCAGTCCTCTGATCATGTTTTCTTAATGAAAGGTAACTTTCCTTTACCCTGGCAATGGCAACTACTTGGGAGGGTCCTTCTTACTCCTTCCCTCTCCTGCCTGCCTTCTTAGATATTGAATGCTTCTTTGGGTAAAACAGTAAAGAGTCTTACAAAAATAAAAGCTAGAACTCTCACCTTGACTCTTAGTGACCTGAAAGGATCATGGCACTCGAGATGAAATCTTAGCCCAAGGAGTCCTGTTTGCACACTGTGGACATCCATGCCAGTTACACTTCTAATTTAGCAGTCCTGGATTGTTCTGAAACCTAGTTCAGCTTCATAAAGAAGCCAAGGGTTCAATTCACCAAGCTAATGCAGAGATGGTTTGGAAAATGACCAGGATGTATTAACCGAACCTCGGAAAAAGGAGCTAAGGAAAGAAGGAATCTTGCATGGGCATTGCATTCTACACTGGACCTTGTCAGCATTCACCAGTAGGGCAGGATATGGTTTTGAAAACCTGAGAGCTCATGCTAAAACACACTAAATGACCACAGCTGATGTTACTCTCTAAAAGGCTACTCTTACTTTAATCATAACTGAGGAAGTGAAGAAATTCAACATTAAAACAGATTACAGGGCATTAAGTGTTACCATTATATCCTAACAGTTATGGTAAATACTATTTATTTTAGTCCTTTATATAAAGGAAAATAAGGATGTCCTTAAAGCAGTAAATTCTTCTTTTAAGCAGCTTTGGGGCATGGCCTGGTGGTGCAGGCCAATATACTCTCAGCTCTTCAGGATCTGAGGCAGGAGAATGACATGTTCAAGGGCAGCCTGGGAAACTTAGTGAGAATCTATCTCAAAATGAAATAATAAAAACAAAGGGCTGAGAATGTGGCTGAGTGGTAAAGTGTTTACTGCACAAAGCCCTGGGTTCAGTCTCCAATACTAAATGAATGAAGAAAGAACAGCTTTTCATTTCAAGTAAAACAATGGAGTGGGGGTCCCAGAGCAGAAGTTCATATAGGTCCCTACTTAAACCAACAGATCAAACAAAACCCTCTAGCCAAGTGCATTGGAGAAATACTGGGCTGATAAGCATGTGTCTGACTATCTAGAGCTGTCATTTACAGGCAGATAACTCACATGCCAGATTCTGCCATGTCAAACCACATGGACTCTTCTCCTAAGCCCTGGACTAAACTGGTGGACTTACCAGGAAAAGTCAACTTAGTATCTGATCGCCGCTGGATCAGGACTTTCTTCTCTGAGTTGAACAAAACGATGCTGAAAGCTCGGTGCAGCAACCCTGAAAAGCCAATGTTCTAGTGTGAGCACATGCCTGACATCCACACACTTTTTGTCTGAGCACTTTGTCCCATCTCCATGATTTAGAGGAGTTGTATAGTGCAAAGGACCTGTGGTTATCAAAACTGACATTTCATAACTTCTAGCTAATTAAAGCTTGTTTGACAAATTAAAACTCAAAATGAAAAATTGAAACTTGTTAGAGAAAACCAGAGCTAGATGGCAGTGAGGCAGAATCAGGAAAGATCAATTTTATTCAGAACTATTGCAATAAGGGGAAAAGAGACCTCAGCATAGATTTGGGGTCAACTCTGAATATACCATGGACAGGTGGGAGCTCACAGTCAAGTGACAGAGAAGGGGTGGGTGGGTGGAAATGACTAAGTGGGATGAAATGGGGAGGGCTTAGATTCAAAGTATCTCACTTAAGAACTGAGGGACTAGGAGACAGAGATAGGGAGGCACACAGATAGGGAGAGGCTGGCACTGACAAGCAAGGTGGATGGCCAACTTCTGGCTTTCTCCTCAGCTGAGACAAAGGCCTAGTGGACCTTTTCTCCTGCCTACAGGTTCCATCCTTCCAACTGACCAATCCAGACTGGTCCAATAACTCCAAGGTCAGACCCAGACATATCTCAGCTTGGAGCTGTAAACCTATCAGTCCTCCCTTCTTCAAGTTGACCAAAAGTAGGGGAGGGGACCTGCCCCTATATCACCAAGAACACTTAAAAGAACTAGGCCTGCCTACGATTGGATTTCAGTTTCCAAATCCTCTCTCCACTTGTGGAGTCTCTCTCTCTCTCTCTCTCTCTCTCTCTCTCTCTCTCTCTCTCTCTTTCTCTCTCTCTCTCTCTCTCCCTCCCTCCCTCCCTCCCTCCCTCCCTCCTGAGAATGTGTGTATGTGTATGTGTGTATATGTCTTCCCTTTTAATAGTTTGTTGCCTGCTATGCCCAAGATTCTTCCTGCCTTTTAATTCTTTAATTGATGATGAAAACAAACCAGATCAGGACCCCTAGATAGTAACAGAAGGACCCAGGTAATCAGACACCACCCTAGGGGTGATAGGGCTTGAGGAATCTGATTAGAAACCATGGTGGGGGATTCTTTTGAAGTAACAGAGCAGGATCTTGCCCAGATATGATTTCAGAGGTAAGTGCACAGTTGCTACAAGGTTCAGGATTCTGATGGAGGTTGGGTTAAGCAGATTATTTTGTGACGATGAGCACTGCAGAATCTCATCCTAAAGATCAGCAGAGAGAGTATAAGATGATTGTGTGGTCTGCCTAGAAAAACCCACACTCTCCTCCTCTGCCTCTCTGTCAAATGATGAGAAAGAGAGAAAGAGAGAGAGAGAGAGAGAACTGGTGAGATGGCTCAGTGGGTAAAAGCACTTGCTAAGGAAGTCTGGTGACCTGAGTTTGATTTCTAGAACCCATGTAATCCATGTAAATGTAAGAGAGAAGTGACTTACAAAGTTGTTCTCTGACCGCCACATGTGTGCCATGGCACATGTGCACCTGCACGTACATCACACACACATGCACACACATTAATAATAAATTTTATTAAAGACACACAAGCTTCACAACAGAAAACGAAGAGGCATGGCCCTACCTCTCTCGATATTTTCGTTCAGGTGGCAATTCCTCTTGGTGTCTGCACCAATGACCTTGTCATTTTCATTAACAACAATCAGCATTTCCTCTAAACGCTGCCGTTGGTGTTCATCAATCCAGTCAACAGTGACGTCAGACATGTCGGCTATCTGTGATTGAACCTGCAATGGACACACATGATTTTCCTCTCTGTGTGGAGGCTATGATCTAATTTTTCCTGCTATCAAACACCTCAGAGATAATCACACATCTTTATCTATGTGACAGAAATGTTACATACTGACACAGGACAGTTGTTCCATGTAGAAGGGGTATAACATGTTTCAAATTTTGTGTTTTTGTGAACAGGAGATCTTGGGAACTTTCTGAAGGGAAACAGCTCCCATACTTCCCAGTTTCTTCAAAGATTGAAAAGAATCTTCACAAAAGGAAAAATACAAAGGAAAATACAGGTAATTCTCTTTGTAGCATGCTTTTGGACAAAGGCCCTGGGGTCAGAACATACAGAGATTTCTTTTTTTAAAATATTTTATTATTTTTATTTTATGTGTATGTGTGTATTGCCTGCACGTAGGGAAGTTCACCGGTGTCGTGCAATGCCGCGGAGGTCAGAAGAGACTGTCGGATCCCCTGGGACTAGAGTCATGGACAGTTGTCAGCTGTCATGTGGGTGCTGGGATTCAAACCTGGGTGTTTTGCAAGAAAAACCAGTGTTCTTAACCGCTGAGCCATCTCTCCAGCCTCCATTGAGATATTTCTTAGCCTTTCTAGAAAGTCATGTTCATCCACAGAAAGCTTTGGGCATCTTTTTTGGTGCCAACAGATTCTTATGCAATGATTTGATCAGAACATATTGTCAGCACCATTTGTCTCCCCATAAGTCTCTTCACTATCTTTCCCCCACTTGTCTGTGTGCTTAAGACAGTCTTTCCAGGTAGCCCAGGTTGGACTCATTTTAACTCACTATCCTTCTGCCAAAGCGTCCTGAGTGCTGAGAGACTGACGTGTCATTGTACCTGACCTTTGCCCTTTTTTAAAGAAATGGGAGGAGATGGGTCAATGTAATCAATTCCTTATATACATATATGGAATGTCATAATGAAATATATCTTTTTATACAATTAATAGATGATAATTTAAAAAGTAAAAGACATGCATTGACTTCTGCCAGTTACACTTTTTCTTTTATTATTTTCAGTATTCTGTTCATTGCCTAGGCAAAGAACGGGGCTGCTTGACTTGATTTGTGGATATGGGGTAGGACAGATTCAGAGGAAACAATTGACAAGGATGTACAGGATTCTATCAATTAAAGAATTCCTGTAAGGGAAAGGATATGCACGAATCACTCCTGCAAACCAGTGACTCTGCAGCATCGGGTGTGGAAATAAATCCAGGTCAAACCATGGGCCAACCACGGACCACTTATACCTTTGAGGTGTACAAAGACATCAGTTAGGATGATTTCAAGTTTTTGTAGTCTCAAGAAACCATACCCTGCTCTTTCTGTGTGTCTCTGTCTTTTCCTCAGATCTCTGTTCATATTTTATTTTGAAACTTTTTATTCAACCCATAAATGAATGTTCTGGGGGTTACTCACTTTCACATCTGAACAGATTACACCATCTCTAGTCCCACAGGACATGTGAAAAACATTTTCTGTTACTTGATGCTTGTTTCATGAATTAGACAACCATAGAAAATTATTTGACACAACTACACCTTTTAAGAGGTAAATTGTGATCTGGGCATAGCATGTTGCTGTGTCACTAAGTAGCATCTTAAAAATACAGGTAAAAATTATTTGAGAATCAATGAGGTTGGATTTTTTGAAATAAAGTTATGCCAGGCATGGTGGCACATGCCTTTAATCCCAGCACTTGGGAGGCAGAGGCAGGCAGATCTCTGTGAGTTCCAGGCAAGCCTGGTCTACATAGTGAGTTCCATGCCAGCTGGGGCTACAAGGAGACCCTGTCTCAAAAAAAGTAATAAACTTCTATCCTTACCTCTAATGTCCTATCAGATGTATCCCTATGAATTTGAGGTTTAATTATAAAAATGAAAGTATCAAAGAACCAGAAATGTATATACATGAATAGTTATATGATATTCTTTTAGGAAAAGCCTTTCTAGATACAACAATAATAGAAGCCACAATACACAAATAAATAGTAAATAAGTTTAAAGCATCTTTCTGCATGTCAGGAAAACTACAGCCAAAGAAAAAGAGAAACTCAAACATCGGACTTAATATCATGTTAGCAAAAAAAGACGAACTCACCAGCAAGAGAGAAGGCAAGCATCAAGAAGCCAGGCATTCTCCTCTGCCATGGCCTTTTATAGGGGTTGCCATCAGAAGGTAACACCCACATTTAGGGTGTGTCTTCCAGCTTCAGATAATCCAATTAAGAAGATCTCTTTCATTTCAATTAATCCCGGATCCAGTCAAGTTGACACCCAGGATTAGCCATCACAAGTCCATCCCTTATCAACTTGACATCCAATAGCATCTCTCTATGTCATGCTTAATTTTCAACCAAAGTCACTGTTTGTACCGAAAGTTCTCTTGCTGATCTCTAGATAAGCAGAATCATTTTGTTCCTGGCAGGGTAAAATTCTCTCTGATCTTATGATAAACCAATTAGGGCATCCTCTTGTTTCATCAAAGTTCATTTTGTCTCAGATAGAAAGGAGAGAGAAGGGAGAGGGAGGACTAAAGGTACTCCAGGGTTGGTGTGACCATTAATGCCATCAGAATTGCTAAGGGCATAGCAAGAGAAGCCACCATTTACTGCATTGTCATCAAGACATGTAATATAGGCTGGGGCAATGGCTTAGTGGGTAAAGTACTTGCTGTGCAAGTGTGAGAGTTCAGATCCCCAGCATCTATATAAAAGCTGGACATGATGTCACCCATCTGTGACCCCAGGGCTTAGGAGATGGAGATAAGCAGATTCTGGGGCTCACTGGTCATCTAGTCTATCCAAAACGGCAAGCTCCAGGTTTAGTGAGACTATTTCAAAAAATAAGGTCGAGGGGCTGGAGAGGGAGAGGGGCTAGAGAGGGGCAGTTAAGAGCACTGGCTCCTTTTGCAGAGGACCCAGGTTCAATTCCCAGCACCTATGAGGTGGTTGACAACCATCCCTAACTCCAGTCCAGGGGATTCCGTGCCCTCTTCTGACCTCCGTGGGCATTGCATGACACAGGTGCATTTACATACATGCAAGCAATACACTCATACACATAAAAATAATAAATAAAATCATTTTTTAAAAAAAGAAAAATGTGTCTTGATTTATAACTTTAAGGTGAAAACTAAACAAAGAAAGAATTGCAAGACTGAGAATCATGACAAAGTGCCTATAGCTCAGGGAAGTTCCAGGACAGCGTGTTTTCTTTCTATTTGTGGACTCTGAATAGAAAAGCAGGGCCAGGGAACTTCATTGTTAAGAGCAGCACTGAGAGATAAACTGAAACCAATTAAGCTTGATCGGCCGAGCAGCTCCTAAAATCATGAGCTACATGTCCACAGTGGAGCAGTGGACAGGAACATGGGGCCAGTTCAGGAAGATGAGGCTAGGCTGGCCCTTTATTGGGTCAGAGTAAGAAAATATTTGAAATAAAATGGCATTGGTTTTATGTTTTAAGATTTGCAGTGGCTTGCATGCTGCACACTACAAACCTGCCAAGCAATACCTGCAAGTGCAATAATGGCTCGACCACATATGTACAACTGACAAATTTCTAATTGGATAAGACCCACTCCTAGGGGTGGAACACACATCTGGTGCTGTAGACCAGGCCAACGCCTTTTGTCAAGAAAGGCTACAGGCCCTAGTGGAGAAGCCGTCATAAGTATATTGTTTAATGAGTATAGTAGACCTACTGAGATATTGTCTAAGCATTTGTATTTACATTCATGTTTGTTTAAATGTGTCTACTTCCTTCCATTTGTCTTTATAGTAGGAAAAAACACCACTGAGATAGATCAGTGGACACGGCCTAAAGACGACTAATGGAGAACTCTACATCTATCACCCCCTCTAAGGCTCAGGAACTTTAGCGGGAGATTGGCGGAAAGATTGTAAGAGAGGAGGAAAGGGGTGGAGTCTCTCCTGATTGGCTGGTTCCTCCAGTGGGTGGTGGCTGACGCAAGTGGGAAGTAGGAAGGGAAGCTGGGAGCCATCTTGGGATGGAAGCCAGGAGCCCCCGGTAGAGCATGATGGTGTAGGAAACTCGCAGCCAGCGCAGCAACTCAAAGACAGAATGGACTGATTCCCTGTGGACCTGGGGTAAGATTGCTGGCCCCGGAGGCATGAGCGAATGTGGGGCTATGGGTGTGGCATGGTCTGATAAGGTGGGCTCTGACTGGTGGTGGCACAGGGCTAGGCACTGGGTACTCATTCCTTTGTAAGTTAACAAACTCACATAAAATTAAAAAAAAAAAGATTTGCAATGGCTTATGATGAGAAGCCTCTGCCCTCAGATGGGTATTTGAAGGAAAGAAGGAAGAAGGCTGGGAGGGGAAAGAGAGAACCCAAACTGGGTTTACCCAGCACACCAATAACACCCTTGAATGGGGCATGTACCTCTTACAGAGACAAAGTCCTCAAAAGAAGACAAAGGCCTCAAAATCCAGGGACTTCAGGTCATGCCATCAGGAGGCTGTTTCGTATAGTATAGTAAGCTCAGAGGGTGGCCATGCTCCCAACAGGTGGCCATGCTCCCAACAGAATTTTCCTCAAAGGGAAAATTATAGGAAAGGTTTTCTGGAGGGAAGAGCTGGGGCTTGGGACCCCAAAACTCTTCCCATGTTTCATCAACAAATGTTAGAATTCAGATGAAAAGACAACATGAAAAGAAGTAGACATTTGGAGGCTGGAGAGATGGCTCAATGGTTAAGAACACTCATTGTTCTTACAGAAGACCCGGGTTCGAATCCCAGCATCCACATGGTAGCTAACAACTGTCTGTAACTCCAGTCCCAGGGGATCTGACAGCCTCCTCTCACCTCCGCGGGTATTGCACGACACTGGTACAGTTACCTACATGCAGGCAATACACGCATACACATAAAACAAAAATAATAATAAATAAAATAAAATAAATTTTTTTAAAAAGTAGAAATTGACCTCAACAGATGCAGATTCAGATAGCTTTATTAGCTACAAAAGGCAAGCAGGCTTCCCATGGAAATGGAGGTTGTGTGTATGGATCTTGAGAAATCTGAAATTTACATGGGCCCAGAATCTAAACGTGGCTGTGTGTTCTGAAATAGATGTACCTCTCTCCAGGAGTGGGGAGGCAGGGTGGGCAGATGGGATGGTCAGTTTGTTCCATCATTTGTCAGGCAGATTTTCCTTCACTGTCTTCACAACCATGCTCAGTATTTCTGCAGAATAGAGGGTCACAAGTCAACACATCAGTGGAGTAACTGAGCACACAATCATTTACACAAGTAGAATTTTAAAAAATAGTTCACAAACTTAATATTTTGATATACTAGAAAATTACCCTGGTGTTCAATTTCTAGCTCACTGTTTTGTTTTCCATATGGAGGGAGGGGAGATTACCAT